ATATGAGAGACATTTAAGATGGAGTTCATAATATGCTATATTTCTCCAGAAGGTGAACATTTTCCTCTTTTGGTTGTTTTCAACTGAACATTGATGCTGTCTCGTAATTTCACTGCAATGCTGCCTAGAGTTTTTGTATTATATTAATAACAGTAATAATGAAAAGAAAAAAGTTGAGGTTAAAGATTATATATAAAGGCGTGAACTCAGCTTTTTTTTGGATAGTATTGTAGGAATGAACAGATCTGTACGTTTTATTTATTATTTTAACGATTTGTGAGTAATAGAGCATAAGGGAAAAGAGAATAGCAGAATATACCAGACAAAAAAATATGGAAGACTTAAATATTTCTTAAAAAATGACAAAAAATAAAGAAATGAATTGAAAACAAAACAAGACATATCAGTGTACATGTTATGGTTACACGTTTTTAGCAATAAAGTCTGTCTTTTCAACGTGCCATGTTGCTTCACAAGGGGTGTCTGTATCCAGGGGGAGCATGTGCGCAGGAAAAAACATCACCAGCTTGAAAATCCTGCAAGAGGAGACCTGAGTGTGCGTTAGTCTGCTCTCCAACCAGTGTCATTTTAGTCTGCAACAGTCCTTGGAAACACCTGAAAATGAGCCAAAAAAAAAAAAAAAAAAACACTTTCTACTCCAGATGAATCCGACGTGTGTAAAATGTGATTCAAACATTGTCAAACGATGAAATGAAGGGTGGGTGGGAAGAAGCGTCCGGGGGTCTGGAAGCTCCACACAAGTTCCACTGAGGTATTTGTACAGAGGTGGAATGGGAGCAGACCGGCGCCTCTCCAAGTCTGACCGCCCCTGAGACAGAGAAAAAGAAAGAAAAAGAAAATAGCAACTAGAAAAAAAGGGGGAAGAATGGGGAAAAAACACAAAGCTCATGAAAACAATGGTCAACTGTTTTTCACGTTAGCGAACTATTCATTAGAGAGCTGCTGCGTGACGCGCGTAAAGCGAACCAGAGATGGCCAAATTACGCACGCTGTGGACGCGCGAATGAGGTCCCGCGGAAATCAAAGTAAACCGAGCTGCCTTCTTTTATGGTGTTTATGTTCTTCTTTGAACGCAAATCAACGACTTGTGCAGAGCTATGACTGCATGTCTGAGAGCTGAAGCTGCTTTGTGAAGTGTTTCCAGCGAGCGCATCTCGTGAGCCTTACACTCATTTTTTTTTTCTTGTGGGCAGAGTTGGATTTGACACTTGCCGCCCGGTTATTGTGACACAACAACCGCTGAGGTGGTGGTGGTGGTGAGGGCGGGGTGGATTCCGTGAGCAGGGGGGTGGCGGGGGGGGTGGGGGGGGGGGGTGAGCAGAGACAGGAGGCGGAGGAGGGGAGGGGACGCTGCTTTCCCTTACTGTCAGCTTCTTTCTTGATGATGTCTCGGGGTTTTTCAGAAACTGCGTCTCTGACTCGACGGCGCCACTCAGCCGCCCCCTCTCGACTGCGCAGAATGAGGCACTTTGGGGAAACAGTAACCCTTTCAGGCTCTGCCCGAGAGTATTTTAGAAGCGTGTGAAAGGCAATCCGCCGCCCCCTGGCTCCAGCCGCTTAGGTGCGCACCTTTTAGGAACGGACCTTTTTGCCAGCCAGTCGGTTTCATCGCTTCCTTCTCGCACAGATGGGCTCCGGCCCGGGTGACTCCGGGTGATTCCATCTGCCCCCTCCCCTCCCCCGCACCACAGCTCTAAGGGTGGGGGGGTGGGGTGGGGGGGGGTCCTTATAAAACGTGGGGAACATAAAAAAATTGTCAGCCAAGTGTTTAACTCTCTGGAAATCATCACATTTCATAATGTTCTGAGTCCAGTCACGAATAACTTCTGACAGATTCGAATCAGAAACATGTTATCTCAGAGGAGCGTTGAGTGAATGTTAAACAATTAAAGTTTGTGAAAAACACAAGGAATGCATATCACCCGCCACCTTTTATGACTGAGTTTTATAGAAGATCTCACATGGGCTCAATATTTGCAAAACTGAGTCATCAGCAATTTGTGTCTAAGCTTGATTAGCTRTGGTGGCCATATTGGATTACATTGACTGTAAAACCTAATCATTATGTTGGTCAAATGATTACTTTCCAAGAGTTTAAATGAAATACAGTAYGTCCACTGGTTCAKGAGACATTTYGCTAACAGACAAACAGGATTGACTCCAACAGTAATGCTTAAGTTGATCTTAGGACCTTATTGATCAGAATGTCCATAAGCGATGACTTTTAGTTAATATCTGTAAAAGTTATAGCCATTTGTGTTGGCTAAAGTTGAATAGCTAAATAAGTATGAACAGCTATAAAAGCTATTAAGTCTAATTGTACATCTAATAATATACTTCCGAGAGTTTTATTTTATTTTTTTATTTAAATTTTTTTATCTGCCCACTGATGCATGAGGTGAACTAACAAAGACACAGGCAATTAATTACATGATCACCTGCCTTTATGGTGGCAGGCGATTAAAATTCTATAACTCCACGCCGTCTCAGCCTGGTTGTTTATTGGAAGTCATCTGCTGTTTTACGTTCACCATACGTCAGCTAAAGTAGCCAAAACCTAAAAATAGGAACAGAGGCATCCACAGTGGCTGTAGATTTACTACAGTGTGGGTTCTTTCTTACACCAACGGAAAAAAAAATATTCCTCTTATGAGTAACTTTGCTGTCCTGATTTGATGCAAAACAACTTTATGGTGAAATCCACATCTCTGTTTATTAGCCTGTTGCAAAACCTCTTCCTAACCCGATGCAAATCTGCAGTTCTTGTGATTGTCATATTTGACATGCTGTGGAAAAGGAGGGGGTGAAAAGAAGAAAGAAAGAAAAAAAACAGGGGAACCAATCAGTGTCATCAACATCAGCGCCGCGCAGCATCCATAAAGATGTCAAGACTCGGGTGGCCTTTACCCTGTCAGACGCTCAATGTTGCTTCAGTCTGTCACAGGCTGTCTGCAGTTTCATCCCCATGGAAACAGCCCTACAATAATAAACACTGTTGGAACGCTCCGTAAACATCAACACAGTGAAGTGAGTGAAAGATAAGGCTTGGAGCAGGGTGTTTAATAAAGAGCTGGAGGCAATTAGGATGGTGCTGATGAGGAGCGGGGCGACATGAAGATGTTGAGGCTCTGTCTCTTGATGATTGCAGTTCTTCTGGTGGAGTCAGATTGTTTGTGTGTGGGCATGGGGGATGGCTCTGCAGTGGCTTTCACTTAAACAAAAAAGACACACTTAATGGGCTTATCTGTCTGCTAAAGGGCGAGCGCAAGCAAGTGCGCGTGCTGACACACAACTTTAGGCCGTGTGGTGGGCTGACGGAGGCAGACAGAGACGAAGACGAGGGTCTGTGGCTGTAAGTAAAACCCAAACCTCACAGCTGTAAGAGCCAAAGAGTCAGCACTGGTGAGGTTATTAATGATGACAGGGTATTAGATTGAGCACTGAGAGGAGGGAGACTTCACACACACACGTGCACACACACACACATACCACGTTTCTCTATCCTTGTGTGGACTTTCCATTGACATCCATTCAGTTTTTGGTGATTTTGTATCCTAACCCTGACCACTTACCCTAAAATTAACCTCACACCTGATCCTAGAACTAACCTAAACTTATTTCACACCTAGGTCCTAAACCTACCCCCCACCCAAAAAATAAAAATAAAAATAAAAAAAACAGCCTCCGAAGTCGTGGGGACCGGGCTTTGATCCCTACAAGGAGCATCCGGTCTCCATGAATCTGCATTTTCCTGAAAAATCATCCCCACTAAGTAGCAAAAACATGGGCACACGCACGCACACACACACACACACACACCATCACCGTAGATGATACCCAGCATTCCATCTCACTACCACCAACCCACAGCTTGTGGTGTCTGCCTGTCTGTGTGTGTGATTGTTCAGTATGAGATGTTTCTAAGTTGCGTTCATAAAGAGTGTTGGATTAAGT